GCACCAGCATTGCTGAAGTTCATCATTTCTTGTTGATGATAGAAAACGGCTGACTGAAACGTTTCCGTTTTCACCCAAAAATACAATCGATTATTAGTATTAATTTATTTATCCGTTTCTAAATGATTCAAACAAATTTCGAAAGAGGCTCACAGCAAATGAATTCGAATATATTCCACTTCAATTCTATCCCTCATCGAGCTTTCATCCTCCGTATCGACTGCCATAAAAGCATGAGCAGTTCTTCCCCAAGTCAGTCGTCACCGTCAAAATTTTTCCACATTCTCACTAGAAAAGTTTCACTTTCTATCCACCTACATTGTGCTGAGAATAAACTATTGGGAATGCAAACAACTGCACCTTAATGAAATTTGAATGATTCGATTCAATTCCATTCGTTAGTTCTCGCCAAGGGCGAACGGTATGGTTACGGGAAGAAAGATTTTCTCGTTTCCCTGTCACCGCCGCGCCAACCTTTCTTTACCCATTCAAAATTTCTTGTTCCAAGATGCTGACGTCAAATATTGACGATAAGAGAATTTTATTCATAGAGCAGCTTCGAGTGCAATTTCAGTGATTTTTTCAGACTTNCACTGAGCATTCACTCGTTCATTTACAGAAAGTTCGATTCGGAAAAGCTGAATGCGATGCGTTGAAAAAATTCGAAACCCTACATCATCAAGATCTTTGGGCGTGGATCATCGATAAGGTTTCTCCACTTTACTTTACTCCATGAATAGTGGTGGTGCTGAAAGAAATTTCCTGAAGTATTCATTTCTAGAGTTGGCGGTTCTCGTTATGAATCTGCTCCTCTTACTCATCATGAGTTTATTGATGCATTTTGATCAAGAAAAAAATTTTTTTGATGTGCTGCTAACATTCATTTTATTCCTTAAGTTGACCGCTCAATGATCAAGTCGTGCTCATTTATGAATTTTTACAGTCAAAAGAGGGCATTGATAAAGGGAAAGAGCTGAGATTTTTGTCTATCTCGGATGAGGCGAATATTTTCGCGATACTATTAGCTGAGCAGTTGCCGAATTCAAAGATGACGTGCGCGATTCGTAATGAATTACCGAAAATCGACTTGCCAACTAACGTGACTGTGGTGAATTACAAAACCGTTGATGAACTCCTAGCTGTAAGTTTTTATGTGATTTTTCTTCGCATGCTATCCGCTGCGTTCAGTTTCATTTGCTCATTAAAATTTTACGGCTAAAAGCATACGTCTATAGATAGAAATATGGTGCAACTAAGGCAATC